TCAAGTAGCAGCCCGTGTTAGATAAATGTGTCTTATTTTTCTATTTTTTTACGGTAATTAACATAAGCTTTTCACGGCGTTTTGAGTAGGACGTCTATGTCATTGACATTAAAAGGTAGAAGACTTTATTTTATTACATCTTATTGATGTGTAATCATATTTTTATTTTAAAAAAACTGAAGTATATAATACTGAGTTCAAGCAAGATTGTGCCCTTAAGAAATTATAGCATTATTTTCATTTTAATAGAATTTAAAGAGACTTGTATACAGTGTTGTTTCTCTTAAATTTTTAACACTTAAGTTCATTATTATATTGACAACTAAAATATTTAATATTTATTTTACATTTTAGATTCAGAATAAAATCTTGAATAAATATTTTCAATTTTAAATTAATAAAAATCTAAAAATCAAATAACTATATTTTATGATCTCATTTTTATTGTAAACATATGTGTGGGATCTTATATCGAGAACATGAAGTAATAACTAAGAAAAAATGAACACATGTCCCGTCCAATAATGATTTATAGTTTATATTGTTGATGGTAGTTATCAAATTAAATTATACAGGTGTATTTTAAATCTCAAATTGGAAAAAATAAAAAATTTAAATAACTATATATATATATATATATATATATATATAAGTGGATACTTGGTCTTCTACCAAAATTAAGTGCTTCAATCACATTTATACATAACAATATTATAGGTGAAGTCAATTTGTCTTTGTAATGACATATGGTTAATTGTGATTATATTAGCAAAACATGTTAGAAAAGTATATAAAATATAAGAGCAAGACGCTCTAAATATCTTGAAAATAATGATCTTAAATGATAGAAACATCACCCAAAAAAAATTCAGTACTACTTATCTTGAGCATAAATATGATTTTATTTTTGGTGACAGAAGTATATATATGAATTTAACTAATTTAACTCATCACTATGTAGTTATTGAACTTTTTATAATATACGAAGAAATACTAATTCAACCCCGTGTATTGCACGGGTACCGTACTAGTTAAATTAATAAACTTTTTTAACTTTATTCCTATTAAAGTGGTTATTAAATTGATGTCGGCACTTCAAAGGCCCGGTGCTGCTATGCATATATACAAATACTATTGAAACTTTGTAATTGCTGTTGTTACCCTCGTATTTTGGGTGTGTTTGGATTAACAGTGATAGAAGTACCTTTTTTTTCAATCTGATTAGTAAAAGTCAGATAATATAATGTGATTTATGTTTGGATTGAGTTTTGTAAAAAAATCAGTTTGAAAAGTTTGAGAAGCTGAAACTTGTTTAGGTGATTAATAAAAAGATAAGTTTAGATATAAAATAACTTAAAAGGATAAGAATTTTATTAAGTAATACATATCTAATATTATATATATTATGACCATTTTATAATAAGTATTAAAAATAAATTATTAAAATGAAGAAATTTACTTTATTATTAGGAACGAAATCAAAAAATACTAAATACTTAATTAATATATTTAATGGATAATATATATATACTACCTCCTCCGGTCCTAATTATAAGACCCAGTTGACTAATTTGAGGAAATTAAGGAAAGAAGTTTAAGTTAGTTATTTGTAATAAATAGATAATGTCTTTCCTAAAATATCCTTGCTAATCAACTATATTGGCTAGTACTACAATTATTAGAGGGACCATCTTGGAAAAAAATACATAAATATGATAGACAAAGTGGATTGGGGTCTTATAATTAGGACCAAAATAAAAGTCAAACAGGGTCTTATATTAAGGACCGGAGGTAGTATTTAACAGTGGCAAACGCTGCACCTCTGTTCTTCCCCTTTTTTGACTTCCCAACCAAAAAAAAAAAAAGCATACAAACACCCAAAATGATTATACTCCAAAAGTTTTTCTTGGACGTACCAATAAAAGCAATAAAAAAGAGTTTCTTCCTAAAATCTTATTTGTACAAATAAATTCGATTGTAAAAATATGTCTTAACACATCTCAAATAAATAAAAAAAACTCCTTGTGTCGGCCCAGAAGTCAGTTTGGGGATTCTAATGTGATTCCAAATGCACCTTTTGCCTTTTACTCAAAAATAAAAAATAAAAAAGAAACATGCTATTGCGCAAAGCATTGGAGTTGATGTTTTCTTATTATTAAATACGTTAAAGAATCAAGTGGAGGTTATTAGGATGAACACTGTGATTGCTAGATTTTGTTTTACTGATTATAGCTTGCAGCTCCAATCTATGCTCTGGATTTCCAATCCGTTTTTTGGATCTTGTTTCCGACATCATAGCGTTGCCGGAAAGGGTGGCTCTGATGCCAAATTAGTACATAGGGAAAGAGAAGAAATAGAGATCACACGTGTACATTATTCAACATCTCTTCGTAATCCATCTAAAGGGATATTTATACTTCTAATCCGGTTTAGTAACTGATATTATTCTCTTCCATAATTTTTTTGTGATAAAAAATTTTAAGTGAGATGGGTCCCGGAAGCTCATCAAGATTAACACATTCCTCTAGACCTAGAGACTGTTTACGAAATACTTACAAATTGCTTACTAATAAGGTCTTTATATTGACAGCAGATTCAAACTCACAACATTGTGAGTTATGAGTCGATTCCTTACTAATTGAACAAACTCTTATTGGTTGTTACACAATTGAACTAACACCTGTCCCTAACCAACATGCACAACTTGACATGTATCAGCAGTTGTAAAGCGGAGAAGCGGACGCAATGGACTGGTGGTGGTCAAATCTCCAAATCAACAGCGTCCTTTTTTGCCATTGCACATGCAGGGTTCTTTCGTCCGTTATTTTGTTCTAATGCTACTGCTGTCTCTTTTAGAATGGAACATATCCAATCTCTTGAATTTGGCGTCGAATGAAAGCAAGAGTGAGGATGGGACGTTGTGAGGAAGAGGTCTGAGTGCAAAACTGAGTGGAAGAAGATAATTTATATAAATTTTTGATGTAAAATTTTTTCAATATATCATCATTTTTTTAGAAGTAACAATATAAAATTATCTTTATTTTAAATTAGATATATCTATCAAAATAAAAATTTGTCTAAATATAAAATAAATTTAAAACTAGGTCTTGATCATGTAAATTAATTTGGATGGTTGGCCTCGATCAATCAGGTTGTATAATGAATCATAATTCTTCTTCAGCTATGCACATATAAACAGCTCTGAATAATGCGCAAGAAAGTGAGAATTTTGTTACAAGGGGTGGATCGAACCCGCACGCACACCCCCACACACACACCACTTGACCAAACGGCTATTGTGGTGTATATGTCTTTTTCCTGCTTCCTCGTTTCTCGCCATTTGAAAGTGAGAATTTTGTAAAGATAACTCTTTTTAGAATGAAATTATCATTAGAAAATTTTGAGATGTGCTCATGAAATGAACAGTAATATGATGCCGAGCTTAATCATATCATGGATAGAATATTCAACGTACTAAGAATTCTAGAGCTCAACCATAACCCGTCTAACCTAACGGGTGGTTCTTTGAACCCCCACCTCTTACGGTGGTCTTGTTGCCACTAGCGGCGTTTTTCTCTGCCATGGGCTCTGGTGAGGTGGTGCAGCAACAGGGAAGTGGCTGTGGCGGCGGCTCAGTGCTCCTCTTGTTCTTTTTTTTAGGGTTATGGTTTTGTGTCTGTGGGCTTAGTTGTTTGGGCTGTGTTTTTTTGTGATGCTATTTATTTTTCCTTGTAAGTCTTTTTCTTTGTTAATGGATACTTTTCCCTGGTCAAAAAAAAAAAAACCATAACCCGTCCAAAAGCCCCCAAAAAAAAAACTAATAAATATTAAGATTTGTAATTTGGTCCTGCTTCCGTCAGCATCACTTTGGCAGTGATGTGAAAGTAGAACAGTGGGAGAGACTATTGGACTTTTATTAATTAAAGAAGCTTTCAACTCAAAACTGTGCGAAGGGCATACAATATAAGCATTTAAGTGGAATAATTTTAACGCATAATATGTGATCTCAATTAAGCACATACACAACATCAAATCCAGGGAATATGAAAAGTCTACATCAGTACAATTTTGAAACACAATTAAGAAACATTAAACAGAATTAATCGTAGGTAAAAGTATTTTCAAAAGAGTTCAAATCACAACTTTGAAGATCCCATAATGCACAAGAAATAGAATTTGGAGTTGCAGCAACAGCAACATCTTTTCTTGAACGCACAAACACTCGAGGACTGCAAGAGAAGGAAGAAAAGGCAAATATCAAGTCAGAATATGAAAAGAGTACATTTGAATGAGCTCATATTAGTTGTTCCTACTGGCACTTGCAATTTGGGTCCTCAATATCTATCCATGAAATAAAGCTTATAGAGAGTGGTCCCGAACCAACTACATACATTAATAGATTAAAAAGAGTAGAATGGAGTTGAAGGTAATAAATACCCTGATTTTGTTGAAATGGATGATAACAAAACCCGTTATTTATTCACCAATTAACATGTGGTATGTGAGCAAGTCCTGGCCAATCGGCTAATCCACACCCTCTAATTTTTGTCTGTATCTCTCCTTTAAAACCGAGCAACCGATGACATCAAAATGTTGCAATGATGGGAGACTCTTTATCAAGTCTGAAAGTGATGCCAAAGCAATGCAGCCCCAGAGGCTTAGCGTTTGCGATGATGTGAGTCTTCTAATAGACTTTGGAAGTGATGCCAAAGAAATGTAGTCGGAGAGGTTTAGAGATTGCAATGATGTGAGATTTCTAATGGACTCTGCAAGTGATGCCAAAAAAAATAACAACTACTGAAGGTTAGTTCTTGTAATGATGTGAGACTCCATATCTACTCTGACAACCATTTGCCAAAAACTTTGTAAATAGGCAGTAATCTGATTGTGCGACGCGGCTCTAAAACTTCTAAAATTATCTCATCCTCATCATGCACTTTTTCTCCCATAAGTCCATATCTTAAGGTCAATCCTCCAAGATATGACATGTAAAGCAGAGACTATGATGACTCAATCTCCTTTACATTTCTCCACTGCCTTCTCAAATTTGTAATCTCCAAATGTCTCCTCAAACAGATCAGATCATGTAGCTCACTTATCCTTGCACCACCACTACCACTCACTTCGTCCACCACAAATGTTGTCCGTGTTTGGAGATTAATCAAACACCCCGAACCACTTGGCATGCATATCAAGCTCTCACAATAATCCAATTTAAGATGTCTCAGTCTTACCAATCTCTTCAAGTCGCTAGGAAGTTCTATAAAAAATTGACAACCATTAAGTATTAGAGTGAGCAAGTTATGCAGCTTGGTAATTCCTCATGAGAGCTTCTTAAGTGGCTCATTATTACTTAAGTTAAGGTATCTTAAATGCTTCAAGTCTATGATACTTTCTGGAATTTGCAAGTCTTGATTCGTAAGAACCAATACACGTAGCTGCTTCGGAAGTGATGTTGTGGACCCACAAATTAGATTAAAAACTTTTGACGAAGAGTGACTTGGGATAAATTTCCACTATCCTTTTACGGACAAAATTGTTCTCATTTTCTTTATCTTGATATTACCAAGTGGAAACTTCCCAAAATTGCCAAGATGACTTCACATATGACAAATCCCATAACCTGAGTTCTCTATATCTATCCTTTCACTTGTGATAATGTAACTCTCATTTTTACTGACTGTGCTAGATCATGTATGAGGTCATGCATCTTTCACCATCCTATGTCACCAAAAAAATCTCTCATCACATCTTGAAACAAGCACCTTGACAATAACTATTTGAAATACTCGTCACTAACATCTTCTAAGAACCTATTTTTATGTAAGGGTTAAACGAATCCCTCAGCTCTCCATAGCTGAATGAGTGTTGTTCTCTCAATCTTATAGTCTTTTAGAATTAGAGAGCAAAATGCAAAGCAATTTTTTAAATGGGAGGGAAGATGATCATAACTAAATTTAAGGATGGAAAAGATTTTGTTGTCCTCGGAATCTGTAGTTGCAAGTTCATTATCCCTAAAATATGACCATTCACTCACTTCTAACTCTTTGTTGAACAATAGGATACCAATGGTTCTTATTGCAAGTGGAACTCCTGCACATTTTCTCACAATATCCTTTCCCATCCCCACCAACTTGTGATCATAAGGTTCTTTCCCGTTCCCAAAAACCACTCTACAAAATAGCTCCCAAGAGTTACCTTTATGCAAATCTTTCAAGGAAAGAGGCAGATGCGTGCCCATTGTCTCCGCCACTTCCATACTGCTTGTAGTGACAACGATCATACTCCCTTTTCTTCCAGCCCTGAACAAGTTTTCTAATTTAAGCCATTCCCCACGATCCTTAATATTCCAAACATCGTCTAACACAAGTTGAAAAAGTTTCCCCTCAATTGTATGTCTCAGTTCTCGGGCTGCTTGGTGCGCCTTAGCAGGTGTTTCCTGCTCAATAATCTTTTGAGCTAACATGTTATTGCTAAGTGCATGGGATTCATCAGACACACCAAGCCATGTCATAACCTCAAAATGATTTTTGATAGCCACATCATTATACCCCTGTTGAGCAAATGTCGTTTTTCCTTCAATTCCAACTATGGGAACTACCCGACATCATTTTTAACATTAGAGTTTAAATGGGTACTAACAAGACGCATTCTTTCCTCATCTCTCCCTAGAACATCTTGTTCGCTTGCAAACAGGTCGGTTCGTCTCCATTCATGAGACTCATTCGATGTACTCGAAGAGCTCTCATGCAATAGAAACGGATTCTTCTCATAATAAATCTCGTCTAGTTTCTTTCTAATTGCCCTAATTTGCATCCCATTTTATGATCACAAGCAAGTCAGTTTGATTTGGAGAAGAATATGCGTGCCTCCTTTGCCATTTTATTTTTGGTCATCACTTTCCTCGCTAGCTCCTGATAGACCATATTTTTAAGATGTTTAAAAAGTAGCCCAATGACATTTTCAGCAAGGGCTTCCATTGATTATCGATGGCAAATTCAAATGGGGTTTGTATGATGAGGAGAGTAATTGTAATAAACACACCTCTAATTGAATACAATTCGTGTAATAATCGTAGACATAATAAGAAACTACAATGCTTATATCATAATATGGAGAGGTTCAGTCATGGGATTCAGCCTCAAGGGTAAGCAACTACACCTCAAAATTTAGAATAAGAGAAGCAATAGTCTTCTATAGAGGAGGGATTAATGCGGATAGTGAGCGGATGGTGAGGAGAAAGGCGGTGTGCGTACAGAGAGAAGTTAGATAACAAGTTAGGTAAAAATGACTTCTAGTCTAATTGGCTTTTGTAATTGAAGTTAAACTAAAAGTCAGTTAATATAATGTGATTTATGTTTGGCTATGTGTTTATAAAAGTTAGTTGGAAAAGTTAAAAGTTATTTGAATGATTAAATAGAGAAATGAGTTCAGTTGTAAAATGACTGAAAAGGGTAAATACTTTATTGAATTGTAGTGTTTAATATTTTATATTTTTGATGTGATAATAGTTAAAAAAGTACCTAAAATTATTAAGATAAAATAAAAATAGTTTATTTGTGAGATTATAAAATAAAAAATTTGTCACAAAAAAAAATTAAAAAACATTGTAGATAATTAATTAAATATATATAAAGGACAAGCATGAATGTAAATTAAAATTCATTTGGTCTCTAATAAAAGTAAATGAAATCACATAATTAATTAAATCGTAAGTTTTGCACAACTTGGTCTCTAATTGAGTCACGACCACGATTCATTTATGCAACGAGAACAAAGGAGATAAGGTAGAGGAGAAAATGTGAGGGTCAATCTGGGTTGGCATATTTTTATTGCTCATTTAATGCTACACTAACGGTATAATGCATTTTGAAATAAAAAAAGTCATATTTTTCTTCGTTGAGTCCAACTAAGATTGAAGGCCAGAAGTGGGTTGGGTTTTTAGCTCATCCAAACAACCATTTAGGGTGTGTTTGGATTGGTGTTGGGCAAAACTGACTTCTAGTCTAACTGAGTTTTGTAATTGAAATTAAAGTAAAAGTCAGTTAGTGTAATGCAATTTATGTTTAGATAGATACTTATAAAAAGTCAGTTGAAAAAGTTAAAAGTTATTTGGATGATTAAATAGAAAAGTGAGTTCAGTTATAAAAATTTATGGGAAGGGATGAAATTACAGTACAAAATGAAAAAGTCATATTTTTTTCCGTTAAGCCCAACTGAGATTGAAGGCCAGAAGTTGGTTGGATTTTTAGCCCCATTCAAACAAATATTTGGTCCTATATAAGTCATAAATTACAGTTTTACGCTTTTCGACCGACTTTTGTTATTTTAAACTGCAATCTAGATATAGCCTTAGCCTTAGATATCTTGACTAGTTGCTGGCTTTTTGCTGTTATTGGGACTACTTAGGAGTTTCTTTTCCTAGTTTGTCTCTCTGTTTTTTTTATAAAAAAAAAACTAGGCCTGCTTTTGTATCAGGAGAAAAATAACAAGTTAGATATCTTGACTAGTTGCTGGCTTTTTGCTGTTAGATGGGACTACTTAATTAGGAGTTTCTTTTCCTAGTTTATTTCTTTTTTATTTTTTTTTTAAAAAAGCCTAGGCTTGCCTTTGTATCTGAAAAAAATAACAAGTTAGATAACCTCTCCACTTTTTTATGGCATTTCTTTCCACTGGTCTATTCCGCATCCTTCATCAAATTTATTGGTGAAGAAAAATCATTCACGTAAATGGATAGTTCTGTTTTGTGAAAATGCCATGGTGTTCTGTTCTTTAAAAAGGGAAATCAAAAGAATAAAAATAAAAATTGGAAGTCTTATGTTTGTTTTTTAAAAGCGCAAGATATTAAAATTCAATTAGCACTGTGCCATCAGAACAGTGAACCAATGTTGTGGCTGTATTTCTCTTTCATTTTAAATTAAATAAAAAATATTATATGTAATCCTAAAAATATAATATTTAAATAAAAAAATCGATTAATTCATAAGTAAATAGCATCACACCATTTACATGAATCATTTTTAATAGATGTGATGAAGGGCGTGGCCTCGTGTGGATTAGAGAAGTGGAGGGAATTTGACCTTAAAGAATTGGAGAGGTTCCTCGCTCAGTCCATCCTAACGTCCAACTCCGTGTCACTCGAAACCGCGTGGGCTCTCTCCGTCTATAACTGAAAAAACACAAAAGCATGATATTTAAAAGGTTTTTGAATGAAAATTAAATTATGATTTCAAAAATAATTTTATAATATACAAAATAAACATATGAAAACATTTGTCTTAATTTGTAAAAAAATACTTTTTAAAAGTACTTTTATCTAAATACCCCTTTAATGCCTTCTCATTGCACGCTTTAAAAACTCTTTCATTTTCTTTTTCTCCATGCTCTCGCTTTCTGTCTATACCTTTTCCTCCCTTCTTTTCTTTATCTTATTCTCTCTCTAGCTTTTCACTCCAAAACTACAGAGGAAGAGGATAGTATACAACCCCTTGGACTTATAAAAGAAAATTCCTGCTAAAGAAGATGGAAAAACACAGAAGACGCTATATATTTTATTGCAAGCAAAAATTAGAATAGTACAAATATTACACAAAAGCCATAAACTTTTTTGAAAAAATTGCATGCCGATTAAGATAGTAGAAAACATTTAGTTAAAAGGCGCCAGTATAACGTTGTTGTTTCTTAAGTATAGAATAATGACAAATTTTACGGTTTTTATAATACTCCTCCGGTCCTTAATATAAGACCCATTCAACTAATTTGATTACATTAAGGAAGTTAGGTAAGTTAGTTAATTATAAGAAAAGTGACACATTTTTCCTAAAACACAATAATCATCTTTCTTAATACCTCCTCTTCCTCTTCTACTTGACTATGGTTGAAGGGGTATCTATAGGGGTAATTTAGAGAAAATTGATAAATATGAGAAATCGGTCTTATATTTAGGACCTAAATCAACTCAAGAATTAGGTCTTATACTAAAGACCGGAAGAGTAACATTTTATTTGAAGGGAGGAATAACAGTTGGCCATAATTTTTTATGGCTTTGGCGTTTTGTTCATTGTGAATTTAAAGATGAACAACAGAAGACAATAAACAGGGAAAAAAATCAAAGAAAGAGTAAAGAGAGGGCGTGGGGGAAGAGAGGGTGTTTTTAATTTTTGCAGTGTGTGATGTGGAGGTATTAAATGTCATCTGCATTTGCCTTTTTTCAACCAGAAATTAAATGAAAGGTCAGGGTTAGGGAAGTGGAAGGAAATGGCCGTAAAAGAAATGGAGAGACCTAGGAACACATGTAAGATTTGTCACCACAAAAAGAATAATGGTAACCCCAATATTAACTATTTCTTTTATGAATTTTCAAGACATAATTTGTAACTTGCTATCCTCTTGCCTAGCAGGCAAAGATTTATCTCCATGAAAAGGATGATTCATTCGAATTGATATGAGAATCCAACCACATTACATTGTTAGTGCCGCACTTAAAAACCGGATCTGAATTCTTTCTATTTCCTTTTTCAATACTTCCAAGAAAAAATGCCAAAACTATAATAACGTTCTTAATTAAAGAGAATGTTAATGGAAAGTAGACAGTTAATTAGTTCTAAAATCAGTAATGGAAAATTATTGAGAAAGGAAAGAATAAGAGACTCAGTGTGAAGAAGAATGGAGGCAAATCACAAAAGCATGCTTGTCTTATCGGAGAGGAAATGGCATTTTTTTGGCCAGAGACATGAATTCACATACTTATCTTGCTCAAAGACAACAATATGACCTCATCGTTCTGTGTCACGATATAACGATGAATATATCTCATTAGATACTTGTTTTGCCGTTAAATATCAAAATTGTATATTAGTGCTATATCAATATCAATAGTATATTCAAATTCAAATTAAATTAGAGTTAAGGTGCGTCTAGCATTACAAACTATTTTCTTCAGTACATTTAGTATCCTAAAATATTTTGATGTGTATCCAGCATCCTGAAATATTTTTTTCAAGTGCGTCTAACATCTTTAAGTATTTTTTGGTGCATCCAACATCCTAATATTTTGTTTAGGTGCGTTCAGCACACTAAAATATTTTTTAGTACATCCAACACCAAAGTGAAAAAAATTTTAGGGGGTGACACTCCAAAAAAAAAACTTCAAAGTACTGGATAAATCACAAAATATTTTACAACACCTGAAAAAAAATACTTTAGAATACTGGATATATTTTTAATCCATTAAATTAAGAAAGAATGACAAAAAAAAAGAAGTTGAAAATTACTAAATTTCAAATTAGATTTGATAATAACACTTTATTTAATATTAACAACACTGAATTTGTAAATAACAACAAATTTTTATTGACATTTATAAATTTTCAGCTTATTTTTTGTCATTTTTTCTTAGATTAATAGCAGTTTAATTTTTCAATATACAGGCATATTCTTCTCTTTCTAAAAATACTTATTTTTGTGGAAAATAACACTTCTTTTATAATATCTTCATATATATTCTAAATATTT